ACAGATAAAGACTCAGCAGCCCAGGAGAGCTAAATGGCTCTCCCAAAGCCAAATATATAGTAAGAGGTACTTCCAGGATTTGAACCCAGGATCTTTGACTTCAAATCCAGAATCCTTCCTCCTCCACCACGCTGCCCCTTGCAGCAGAGTTTAAAAGGTCCTTAGAGACCATCTAATCCAACCTCCTCATTTCACAGATGGCAAAATAGGCTCAAAGAGAAACTTGCCCCAAGGTCCAGAGGTGAGTAAATGATACTTTACCTACTTTCTAATTTTGTGAGATGCTAGTATGGACCCACCTCCTCTCCAGGCTCCATCGACTCAACCATAAAAACCCTGGGATTTATCTTTGTATCTGACAGGACCAAAGGAGATGGAGGTTTGCTGAGGACTCAAAGGGATCATGGGCATGGCTCCCCACAAGGAACTGGGCATGGAGGGAGGGACCCTGGGAATAGTCTACTCCTGCTGAGCAAGGTCTATCTATCTTTCATGCCCTTACCCCCAAGCTCCTGGCTAGATGAGGCTAAGAGAATATGGAATGACTGGGGTCCAAGGACTCTTGGGTTCTCATCCCCAAATTCTAGAACCCTAGAATGTCAGAGCTGGAAAGGCCTTTAGGCTATAAAACATCTAGTCTGGAGCCAGCAGGAACCAAAGGATACAGGATGGCAGAATTGGAACTCAGAACTCAGTCCTGTCATCCAAACTGCACCTCAACAGGCATGCCCTTTGCTCCATACTCAACAAATGACTCTCCAGTTTCTTCTTGAAAATCTATAGGGATGAGAAATGCACCACCTTCTGAGGACCCATAATACTCTTGGGCAGCTCTAGGCAGCTAAGAGATACAGTCCAATGCCCTGGAGAAACTGTGGCAAAAGAAGGGAAATCAGTGGCAGAACCAGGATATCTCCTTACCCCCAGGTCAGGGGTTGTGTCTGACACATTAAGCTATTTGTCCTCAAAACAAGGGGAGACAATTCCGTTCAGAGATGGAGAAGGGGCTGGGAGAAAGACAACGGGGATTGGCAGAAGGACCCTCTTTCACAGGGGGCTGAGCCCCAGGGCTTGGGTCCCTATACCCCCTGTAGTGGAAAGTGAGTCAGGCTTTTATCCAGAGACTCTCCCGTCCTAATTCCAGCCTTTCCACCTCCTGTGTGTAAATGGGTGTCTCATGCATCCATCACTGAACCACCATTTCCTCACCTGTACAATGGGGGGTTGGACAGATGACAATGGGTCATCTGTCTAGCCCCTCCCAGCTTAAGATCTACACTGCTCAGGGTCTCCTTGCAACAGAAGCATCTGCATAAGAACAAGGCTCCCAACCCCACACTCTGCTTCAACCAAAGGGTTCTCCCAACCCCATCTGGACCAGAATTAAGTCTCTGCTGTAAGCCTCTGGTACCCTCTGGTGGCCATACTAGGGACTCCAATGACAAGAACAGAACATTTTGTAGCCACCAGCTTCTCCTGCTACTGGAGTTCCTGCCCTGGTCATAATTAGCTCCCAGCCCATGAGCACCTACTATCCTTCATCCCTGACCTCCGCAATGGGATTTCTCCCCCATCTCCAGTTCCCACATACGGGACACTAGGAGGCAAAGTACTGGACTCCTTGACTTAAGTCAGGGGATCCTCTTATAACAGGACCCTTGTCCAAGGGTGGAGTCAGGGTTCAATAGGTACTGATAGGGACTTAGTTTGGGGCTAAGGTCAGACTTCAGTCCATTCCAAAGGATCACTCACCCTCATTATCACCTACCTCTAACTATCAGGCTAATTAACCATAAACCCATCTAACCATATTTCCCCTCATCTTCCCCCCCACACACACACACACAAGGTCTATCAATCACTAATTGAAGGCTAAAGGGTAAATGAGTGGAGATATAGTCTCTTATCTCTCTGTTTGGGGGCGGGCTGAGGTGGGAGAGAGTGGAAATTTCCAGGAGAATGGGAATTAAGAATAAATCTGGGAACTCCCAGAGCAAAGAGAAGACATAGCCCCAGTCCTTACGGAGTTTTCAAACTGAAGGAGACAAATGTGCCCCTCACCCACCCTACCCTATTTCAATGGGAAGAACTCAAACCATTCAAGGCCTGAGGACTATATGTTTATGATTTCCATCGCTTTTTTGTCTTCTGACACTGCCCCGCCCCCATTACTCCACATTTGGACTATTATAATAGCTTTTTGGTTGGCCTGCCTCCTTCAGGTCTTCCCCCACTCACCCTCCTCAGCTGCCAAGATGATTCTCCTACAGGGCAGATTTGACCATTCACTTCCTTACTCTACAAACTCCAGTGGCTCCCTATTACCCCCAGGATCAAATATAAAATCCTCTCTGGCTTTTAGAGCTCTTTACAATTTGATCTTTTCCTACCTCTCCATGTATGTTACTACCTTAATAATACTAACTAGCATTTATATCGGACTTGATGGTTTGCAAAGCGCTTTAGGAATATCTCATTTTATCCTCACAACAACCTGAGTATGCAAGTGTTTTTATTATCATCATTTTATAAATAAGGAAACTGAGATGGGCAAAGGTTAAATGACCTGCCCAGAATCACACAGCCAGTAAGCATCTGAAGCTGGATTTGAATTCAGGTTTTCCTGACTGAAGGTCAGACAGCTGAAATCCTGCCTTCTGCAAGAAGCCCCCAGAAATGCTCTCCTCTCTCACTCTCCCTAGTGCCTTCCACCTGAGATTACCTCACATTTACCCTGAATCTATTTGTATATCCCTAATTCTTTACATGTTGTCTTCCCCATGAGAATGTGAGCTCCCTGAGGGCAGGGCCCATCTTTTGCCTTTCTTTGTATCCGGCAATTAGCACAGTGCCTGGCATTTGGTGTTTACTAAATACCTGTTGACTGACAAAGACCAAGTAGAAAAAAAATTATATTGGCCATAGCAGAAAACCAAGCAGCCTTGGATAGAGTGATAGGGGAAAGCACAATAGCCCTAGAGCTCATAGAATTCAGAAATGGGAGGCTCTTTGGTTTAGGGAATAAAGTCCAACCCACCTAATTTACAGTTGGGGAAACTGAGGCTCAGAGAGAACAGGGACATGTCCCAAGGTCATTCAGCAAGTTAGTGCAAAAGTAGGAGTTGTAGCCAGGTCTCCTGACTTTTTTCTCTTTTCTTTTCTTTTTTCCTTTCCTCTCCTTTCCTTTCCTTTCCTTCCTTCTTCTTCCTTCTTCTTCCTTCCTTCCTTCCTTCCTTCCTTTCTTTCTTTCTTTCTTTTCTTTCTTTCTTTTCTTTCTTTCTTTCTTTCTTTCTTTCTTTCTTTCTTTCTTTCTTTCTTTCTTTCTTTCTTTCTTTCTTTCTTTCTTTCTGACACTCCCCAGTTCCTAAGGAGCTAACTTTTTTATTTAAAGACTAAGAATATTCAGCTGAGAAAGGGCAAACTAGAGAAGTGTTCTATTGTTGACTCAATCAGAACCATTAGATCTCCTAATTTCTAGCCCAGCATTCTCTGCATTACACTACAAGACAAGTAGATCCCAAAGCAGATAACAACACATTTTTTGTTTGACTTTTTCCCCAAAAATTATGATTAAAAATAGATGCTTAGAACCTGGAATAAATAGGTGACATAAGCAGAGGTGTCAAACTTACCAAATGCCCCTGTAGCAAGCTTGGACAAATTCCTCATTGGCCAGAATCAGATGAAAATGCAGTTAGGAAGTATTTTAGAAAAATAGATAAAAAATACAATACAACACAGATAATGTTAATTTGTGGTTTTCTAAGTCAATATGTGGCCTGCAGAGATTTGTTTCCATTTGGGTAAGACACCACTGTTCTACCTCATCAATTCAAAGTCCAGGGAAGTGAAGCTGTAATAATAGTGTAAACATGGGCAATGGTGGTGGAGAGTGGAGAGGGAAGCACCCAACACTTGTGGATACTTCACCAAGGCCTCCCTGATATAGAAACGATGGGTGTTGATAACCTCTTTATATTGGAAGAAGGCATTTGAATCTCTTCCTGGCAATTCTTGTCTCCTCATACTTGCACTGAGAAGCTGTTCAAAGGAGGAAACTGAGTCACAGTGAAGGGACTTGACTTGTCCTGACAAGCATTTGCTCTTCATCAAAGCAGACCCTTTACTTGGCAACACAGGACAGGTAGTACTCTCCTACGGTTTTGAAATCAATACAGCTGTATTTCCTCAGTAAAAAAAAAAATCCTATAATTCACACTTTTCACTTATTCCTTTCCCCACAAAAAGACCCATGAGTGAGGTTTTTTGGCTGTTTCCTACATCTGAGTCTTGCCTCCCAAGTCTCCCAGGACAGGGACCCTCTTAGCTCTGTGCCTAGTTAATGTCATATCTAGCCACAGGACCACTAAGCGAATGGGGAGGAGGCAGCAGTTATTGAGAAACCAGACTGTGGCAAAATGAAATTAGGGAGTAGGCAACTCAGGCGACTATTCAAAAAGAGGGCAGAGGGCACAGGAAGATATCATCTAGGTCAACAATTAATTTTCCAGATAAGGAAACTGAAGCCCAGAAAAAAGTGATTTGCAGATGTTCACACAGAGTCCATAGTAATAACAGCAGACATTTACAGCACTGTGCTAAGTGCTTTACAATTATCTCGTTTAGTCCTATAATAACCATGGGAGGTGGGCGCTGTCATTATCCCCACTTTACAGATGAGGAAACTGAGGCAGGCAGCAGTTAAATGACTTGTCTAAGGTCACACAGCTAGCAAGTGTCCTGAGGTTGGGTTTGACCTCAAGTCTTCTTGACTCCAGGCTCAGCATTTCTAGCCACTGCACACCCTAGCTGCCTCACTAGCACTCAAACCCAGATCTTCTGAGTCTCATTCCAGGATTCTCTTTTCCTTAACCTCACTGAGCTTCTGTTTGCTCATCTGAAAATGAGGGGTGGAACCAGATGACCTCTAAGGCCCCTTCTGTATCTATGATCACCATTTAGAGAAGAATCAACCACCACTGGGCAGCAAAGGGGCTGGATTTTCTATAAATAATCCTTTATTTTTAAACTAATCTGCAGGGGGGAGGGGAGGAAAGGGAGGAGGTGGAATCATAGCCTGGTTCTGCCATGTTTCCCACTGAGGGAGAAGAGACGGAATAGGGCCTGGGTTAACAGGATTCTTTTATTACAGTCTGAATCATTCCTTGGGCCCAGAGGCTGGAGGTGGAGTTTGGGAGACAAGCATGAAGAAATCAGGGCATCCACCCCAAGGGTCCCATGGTAGGAGGGCCTCCCTCACAAGAAAGTATATTTATTAACATCTGTGTTGGCACTGGCATTTTCATCTGGTTCCAAGGCTTCATTGGTGTGGCCTCTTTTCTTCTTTGGTGATTTGGATGGTCCCCTAGAGAAAGGATGACCAGTCTCAATGCCAGTCTATTTGAAGGGAGAGAGAGACGGGAACCAGGAACCTCTTGACTGGGCCAGTGACAGCCCAAGTGAAGATACCCTTGTCCCAGATGGTGGTCTAGGCACCTAAGAAGTCAGGTACCTCTTGGAAGGAGGTGAGAGAGAGGGAGAGAGGTAGGAGAAGGTTCTGGACAAAGTAGAGAAGAGGGAAAAAGGAGAGGCTACATACATCCAGAAGCTACAACCTTTCATGGCTCCCATAGCCCACAGGAAAAAGTCTAAACTCTTTAGCCTGGCATTTGAGGCTTCCATGGTCTGGCCCCCACCTCCTTATCCAAACTTGTCATTCCTGCTCCCCTGCAGAAACTCTCCACCCCAGCTAGACTGGGTGCCTCCCTCTCCTGGTCTGTCTTTTCTTCACAAACTCAGCTTTTTCCCACCTCAAAGCTTTTTGCTCAGGCTTACTTCTCTCCTCTCTGCCTCCACCTCTCTGTCCAAACCATTAGAAAGTACAGTAAAGGACACTGGGGGCCATGCACAGCTAACAGACACACATAGAACACACAGACTCACCCATATGCACACAGGACTAGGGTGGTGTGGACATGTAATTTCATTAGTGTGAGGAACTCCTGGTGTGAAAACTTGCCTCTACTTTACTCGAGAGGCCATTGGCAACTCCTCTATAACTTAAAAATCTGAGTTGTTTTAGGCATTGAAGGGATGATGATGATGATAAACATTTATATAGTACTTCCTACGTGCCAAGCACTGTGCTAAGAGCTTTACAATTATTATCTTATTTGATCCTCACAACAACTCCAGGAGGGAGGTGCTATTATTTACAGATGAGGAAACTGAGGTAGACAGAGGTTAAATGACTTGGCCAGGGTCATAGAGTTAGTAAGCTTCAAGGGCTAGATTTGAACTTAGGTCTTCCTGACTCCAGGCCCAGTGCTCTATTCACTATGACACCTAGTTAAGAGACCTGTCTGTGAGTGAGCTGGTATGTGTTAGAGGTTGGGCCTGAATCCAGGTCTTCCTGACTGCAAGGTCTGCCCTCTACGTACTAGACGCCCTCACACAGATGATTCTAACCATACACGACATAAGCATGCACACCATGCAACAAAGGGGCGTGTCTGTCCATGCTTTTGTGCACCTAAGGGCACACAAGTATATGGTGCACACCTGGGAATTTGCATTTGGACAGAGGTGCAAAGGCAAAGACACACGTATATACAAGCACACGTGCAAGAATACGTAACAGTAACCGCTCCCATCTCTGCAGCGTCAAAGAGGTCAAAGTTCTTTCTTCCCAACCACCTTGAAGCCATTTGTTTAAATATGTTATTGTCCCTATTGAGGATGCTAAGGCTGAGAGTCACAGGTCTTCTATCTCCAAATCTGGGGTTCTTTAGACCATACTACATCGCTTCACAGAAGTATCCCAATGCCCAAAACAAGACCCACACATATACGCTTGTGTGCACACATGAAGATATGAGTGCACACTTTACCTCATTTGAATGTTTTCATGGGGGTTCGGTTCTGCTTGGTCCTTTTCAAACTCCTCCTCTTCATCATGGCTTCTGGGGAGAAAAGGGAGTCTGGAGGTTCTCCTTGGCCTGATTTCCCTCCCATCCTCACCCCCCCCCACACACACACCATGGGCACTTTCTCAGGCTAAGGCTCAGTCCCTAGTATTCCACAAACTTAGAAGGTGGAGATGAAGTCCCAATTCCCTCATTTCACAGGTTAATAAACTGAGGAAATTATTGGTTCAAGGTCACAGCCAGGGAGTCTGTGGTTCATGTGACTGGGACATCCACACAAGTGGCCTGGCTCTCTGGCCAGGTCACAAAGAGGAAGGGTAGCCATGGGGAAGAAGAGAGGGAGCTGGGAGGTGACCCCAGGTCCAGGGAGCAAGGTTTCCCACCTCTCCTTGGAACACCAAAACCGATTGGCCAGCATGAGGACGAAGACGATGAAGAGGAAGACCACAACAGCTGTGAGACCCACCAGCCAGGGCTGCAGCGTCCTCTCACTCACTGCCAGGGACAGAGTGAGAAAGAGAGATGGGCTGAGCTTCAGTGAGCAGGGGCGGGGTTCTGTGTCAGGCTCTGGGACAATTCCTCCTTTCCCTCTCTTGGTCTTCTCCCTCTTCCAAAAGACCTATTTCCCCATGTGAAAATAGGAAGATGGAGTCTCAGAGCCAAGGCAGGGTACTGGGTGGTTTCCCAACCCTTACCCAGGGTATCACCGTCCTTGTCCCTCCCCAATCCCTGACCTCCCACCTTCCTGGGCATCCACTGATGACAGCAACAGTGCAGAGAGCACAAAGATGGTCTCCGGGAGCTCCATGGGGCCAAGCAGCCGTGGCTCATCAGTCTGTCCGGGGTCCTTGAGTCTGGTCGCTGTCTGCACTGACTGCTGCAGAAGGGAGCTGGAGAGAGAGCTCTGAAATGGCTCCACCCCAGATAAGATAATATGGAAGGGGCAGAGGTTGGGGGTGTGTGGATGCAGTGTTGGTAGGAGACTGATTATTTATTGGACTCTGAAAGCCCCACTCCTCACACCTACCAGCTGCTCAGGGGACTGCACCTTCCTCCCTTTAACCCTCTGTGGCCTTTGAGGTCCTAGATAGCTGGGCTCTGGGGTAAGCCAAGAACAGTGACTCTCTATCCTCAGTGGACCACTTCCCTAGCATTCTGCCAGTCTTTCCACACTGGAAGGGCTTTGTCAGGCCGTTCCTGGGAGCATCAGTCCTTGTGTGCCATCCTTCACCCACACACAAAGGGTTAACAGGAGGGGAACAGGGGAAATGAAGGGAGTAGAGAGACTCTGGACTTAGGTAACAATTAACTCAGCCCCATTCTCAGGAAGCGAGAATCCATTATCCCTAGTCAACGCTCAGCACAAGCAGCTGAGGGCCTCACAGAAGGCACGGATGGCTTCACCAAAGGGCAAAAGGGGACAGTTTGCACCCCAGCCCCTGCCAAGGACTTAGAGCAATTGGGGTCAACAAAGATCCCTGCTCAGAACAGGTTATTATAGTCTCTGGTACTAAGAGAGTCCCATTCCTCAAGAAGAGATTCTCTTCCCCATCCTTCGATTAAGGGACCTTCTGTGTGTAAACATCTCATCAGATTAGGCCACTCCTCTGAAGAGCTGTGAGGAAGCTCACAGACCTTCCCTTGACCTTGCTCACTAAGGCCAAGAGATGGTGCCCCTCACAGCCATTTTCCCAGCCTTGGATGGAGCCTCAGTCTCCCCTCTATGACTATGGTGGAAGATAACATAAATATGTCAACAAGCAGGGAAAACAGATGCTTTTGTCAACCAGTAGGATATCAGTGCCCATGTGTACAAGAAACTGTGCCCCCACAGAGGGCCTCCCACCAATCCCTGTGAGCTGGAAGGGTGGGGAACGAGGCTACAACCCCACTGAGAGAAGGAACAGAGTCCGTTGGAGCAGCGAGGAATTCAACCTCAATCTTGTAAAGGGTGTCTCCTGTGCTGCCCTGTGGAGGGTGGAAGTAGGGATGAGCCAGGGTAGCCTGGAAAGAATACTGGATTTGGAATCATAGATTTATATTAAAAGGACCTAAGAGATCATAGGATCAAGAGAAAATGGAAGCTCAGGGAGGGAAATTGATTTGCCCAAAGTCATAGAGCAAATCAGTGGCAGAGCAAATCTAGGTTTGGATTCAGGCTGTTAATTGGCTATATGACACAGGGCAAATCACATAACCTCTCCCAATCTCATTTTTATTTTCTGGTAGAGGGAATTGGACCAGGTGAGCTTGGAAGTCTTTCTTAGCTCAAAATCCTATGATCCTATGAGTCATTCATTAGCCCATTAGCCTTGGCCCTTCCCTGGGTGAAGGTGGACTCCAACCCACCTTTCACGGTAGAAATCACAGCCCTGGCACGTGATCTGAAGGTCAAGGTAGTAAGTAATCAGCTTCTCTCCCTCTCCTTACTTTCCCTTTTGCTTCCAAAGTAGGGAACCACTGAGGCATGGCAGTGAATGGAATATAACAACATACGCCCACATCCAGACTGTTTTATACTGTCCAAAGTACTTCACACCCATTAGTTTATCTAAGAACTCATATTTCTATTTTACAATGCATTTGTTTTTCCCACAACCACCCTTGAGGTAGATAGTCCAGGCATTCCTGGCCCCATTTTATCGAAACTGATGCACAGAGAGGCTGTTGTTTGCTTCATTTCATACGCTGTCACAGTCAGAATGCAAGCCTAGGTCTTTTGACTCAAAGTCCAATCAACGCACTTTCACACCACCATGCTGTCTCTTAAGAGTCTTAGGAGGCTGGCAGCACAGGAATTATTATTCTCATTTGACAGAAAAGGAAAACTGAGGATCAGAAAGGACAAAGGATTTCTGGAAGATTACAAAGTGAGTCAGTGGCAGAGATGGGACTGGTAGGGGCAGCTAGGTGGCACAGTGGACAGAGTACCAGCCCTGAAGTCAGGAGGACCTCAGTTCAAATCTGACCTCAGACCAAACACTTGACATTTACTAGCTGTGTGACCCTGGGCAAGTCACTTAACCCCAATTGCCTAAAAAAAAAAAAAGAGGGAGATGGGACTAGTAGCTAGTCCTCAGGCTAGCAGCCCAGTGGCCCAATTGCCTCAATCCATCAGTTTAGTGAGTTTTCACTAAGAGAAGACAGCAGCCCCGCGGAGCTCTTGACCTGACACGGAAAATAAGAATCACACTTCCAAAATGATAAGAGAACAGTACAGAGTACTGAACTGAGAACCATGAGGGCACAACAGGAGTCTAGGAGATCACAGGTCCAATAGATTAGAGCTAAATATAACCTGAGAAATCAGAGTTCAACTCCATTTTGCATAAAGAGAAACTGAGGCACGAACTTGCCCAAGGTGACACAGGTAGTAAATACCAGAGCCAGGATTTGAATTCAGGACCCCAACTCCCAATCCAGAAGATCTTGAATGCTGAAAGTTGCCCTGCCACTCCCTCCATCCTACCCATGTCCAAACGCAACTGTTTCCAACCTATTAAGCTACTGAAAGCAGAGGCTTCTGTGGCTCAGATTGCCACTGCTTGATATAGGCTGCAGGGGTGGTTGGGAGTGAAGGAAGCAGAGAAACTGAGATCTGTGAAGGACCATTCAGACTTGGGAGACAGGACTTTCTGCCTTGGCAGTGGTTTCTACTGTGGGATTTATAACAGTCATCAGACCTCTCAGGGGGTGTCACATAAAAGAGGACTGATTTACTAAGCTTGGACCCAGAACACAGAACTTAAGATAACCAGGGAGAAATTACAAGGAGGCAAATTCCAGCTCAATGTGAAGACAAACTTCTTCATAGTCAGAGCTGAGGGAGACAGTGTAGTGTGGTGGATAGAGAGCAGGCCTTCCACTCGGGAAGGCCTCAGGCCAAGCCCTCATTCTAGAACATGCGAACTGTTCATCTTAGTGTTTCCAGGTAGCTCTAAGACTTTTAAGTTACAAATGAGCTGCCAATTGCCATTAGGAGAATTTCCACAATGTGAGCCCCTTATCGATGAATCCAGGTCTGGACCAAAAAGAAAAAAAAAAATCAAAGCTATATGGCAATGGAAAGCACAGCCTCCTTTCCCTGTATGCAAAGCAGAATGACCCCTTGGGAATGCCACAGGGGATTGTTTCCCAGTCATCAGCATCTCCCTCTAGCAAATTTTTGCTGGTCTACAAAACGTTGGCTGCTGAAGGTCCTAGCTCCCTCAAATCCATCCACGTAAAGCAGCAACCTTCCTGTGTGCTGGGCTCATGCCTGCCTGCTCCCCCCTTCTCTTGTGGGTGAAGCCCCCTAATCACCATTCAGGCTGAAGAGGGCAAAGTCACCCGCATAGAGTGCTTTGCAGCCCAGTGTGGATTGGGGACACAGCTAGGGAGAGGTTTCCTGGTTCAGTTAGGGGGACTAGATGACCTCTGGGGTCCCTTCCAGGTGAGACTTTATGATTTTTGCCAGGCCAGTGGTGGAATGGAATTCAATTTCCACAAATTCAATCTGCATACTACTTGGTAGAAAAATAAAAGGGAGGTCTCACGACAGTCCAGTTCTAGTGAGATTTCCTCCTCTTTCCTCCTTCCATTCAGTGCTAACTGATCCATGGCCCTTCTGGCAGCCTTAGCTCCTTGTCAATCTCATGCTCCTCCTGAGCCCCAGGAAATCAGAGAGGCCCCTGCAGTCCTGGCTCTCTCTACTCTAGCCTGCGTTGGGACGCTGGCTCTTGGAAGGTGATGATGGAGGGGCGTCGAGGAGCAGGGCGGGGAGGCCAGCGGGGAGGTTCCCGGACCTCCCTGTCCCCAGCGGGGGCATCCTCTGGTGAGACGGTCAGCTCTTCCCCACGCCAGGTCAGGGCCAGCTCCAGATCCAGTTCCTCTAGGTCTTCACCTTCTAGGCTGTTGGGCAGCTCTCTCGGGGACTCCGGCTGGTCTGGCTTCGGCCCAAAGGCCCAATCTGCACACAGAATACAGATAGGACAACCTCCTTCCTCCTTTTGAGCTTCTCCTCCCACCTTCACCAAGAGCCTCAGAGATAGGCAACAAGGGCAAGGAGAAGCACCCCCGTTTTCCAGATGCAGAAACCAAGAGAAAATAGGGAAGAAGCCTCTGCTCAGACACAGACCCCGGACCCAAGCCTAGCTCTTCTGACTCCTGGCTGAGGTTCTCCCTCTGAGAAAGGGAGTCAGAGAAAATCACATTGCCTGCTGCAGTCCCCCTTGGTGAGTCTCCAGAGGATGGAGGGCAGGGAAGGAAGCCTTCCTTCTTCCCTCCTTACACCAACATTAATTTGGTGTTTGTCTGTTTACAAAGCGCTTTACATATATCGTCTCAGATTGACCCTCACTGCAACACCGGGAGGCAGAGAATGAAAGTATTATTATGATTATCTTACAACTAAGGATACTGAGGCTGAGAGACAGTATCACATTAACTCTGACTCTAAATTGTTGGCATCGCACAGCCAGTAAACTGAGGAACCAGGATTCAAAGTCAGGACTCTGAACTCTAAAGCAAAGATTCATTTTTCTACACCAGACAGGTGTTGAAAACACGTATTACTATTGTTCAAATGTTTGCAGATGTTGTCGTGACTGATATGCAGATGCACTTAAAAGCATTAATGGCAGGGGTGTTTTGGGGTCATATATGTTCTCAACAGTACGGGTCTTAAAATGTGGGACTCTATGTTTTTGGAAATTGAAAAAGGAGTATCATACTTGAAACAACTGACCACCACCACGCCATAAGCTACCTGCCCCAGGTGACCTCCACCTCATTCACAAATGAGCCCTACCCTGGGGAGGGAGGCTGAGGGGAGAGGGAGATGTCTACCCCCTACACCCCCCACCCCAGGGCTCCAGAGGAGGCACCTAGCATTCACCAGCTCTATTCCCCTCATCTGAGCCCTGCCTGGTGAAGGAGGTTGGGGGGCATCTGAAGGAACAGCTTCTGCCTTGCTTTCAGAAGGGCTCCCTGAGGAGGCAGGCCCCGAGCTACTCACCAGCCAGGTCATGCATGAGGTCCTTGATGAGGTGCCCAACGATGGCGTAGGCCACAGCTATGACGATGAGGGCGGCAAGCAGCAGGTACAGCACATACTTAGGCAGGCGCACGGCATCTAGGGCAGGCGGCCGGTAGTCCTCAAAGAGGGGCGTCTCCCTCGTTTGGTCCTCAGGCTCCTCTTCCAGCAGGCGCCGAGGGCCCCAGCGCCCCACCATCCCAGCCCTTCGGCAAGGTGGCCCCACAGGCAGAGGCTGCTGCCTGCCTGCCGGGGTGTGGGGCATGGTACCCAAGAGGCTGGCAGGGCTGGAGTAACCCCCAAGGGCAGGCAGCGGAAGCATTAAGGGTCTTAGGGACTAAGAGGATTGTGGAGATTACTGTGAGGAAGGGTGGGAGGACAGGACAGGAAGAGGGTGGTGGGGCACAGAGGCCATGGATCAGACATTCAGCGTGGCAGAACTGGGGCTGAGGCCACATATGCGGGCCTCCGGGCCAGGGTTCCTCTCAGTACCCCATATGACTAGGATCTCAGAAGGAATCACCCTTACCCCTTCTGCCTCTTCCTAAGATAGAATGGAAATTGGACAGGGAAACCTACTATATCCCAGGCAAGCCTTCATTTTATTTCTCTACAGAACCTTGGTCTTGGGACTTGGGATCTAGGGCAGGGAGGCATGGTGAAAAGACTGCTAAGGGAACCCAAGGAAGGTGTATGTCCTACATAGGAGCCCAGATTCTTTCCAATAAGGAACTAGAAGAGACCTCAGAAATCACCCTATTGGAACTCCTTCCTTTTACAAAAAAGGAGACTGAGGCCAAGGAAGGAAGATGCTTGTTCATGGTGAGTTAACGGCACAGCAGGGACCAAACCCGCATCTCCTGCTTTTTAGTGTAGGGTTCTTTACAACAAACGACCTAATTGTGATCATCAGCCACTGCAGGAACAAGAAGGAACATTAGGGTCATCAGAGGTCCCAAGAGGGAAAGCTCACACAGCAATGAGTGGAAGGGTTGGGACTAGAAGCCAGACCTCGTGATAGCCAGCCCAGGACGGATATGGCTCTTCAGCATTTCCCTCCTAGTCACCCTCACCCCCCCCACACACACTTCACACGATTTTCTCAGATATATAATTTAATATTTGGTTCAGATGGCCTTTGTGCCTTGCGACTCAAGCCCAGACCTCCTGCTCTCACCTCTCCCCCAGGCCCTAGCCCACCTCTCCTTTCCCTGGGAAGAATCCACTTCAGAACTCTGCCCACTTTGTGATCCACCCCCTTCCACGTCCCTCAAAGACTCCCACCCCAATCATCTAACTGTGCAGGCACTATCTATGCCCATGGAAGATTTCCCTTCCAGACAGGTATAGTAGATGGTAGGAAAGGGAGTACATGTGGGTGGGTTTCCCTCTCCAAGTTGCCTAGATGGTCTGGAACATATGGTCAGGTGGACAGCAGCAACTCAGAAAGAGCTTCCTCCAGAAGGTCTCGACTGTGGAAAAGCTATATGCCTTTTCCCCCAACCAATCCAGATGCAAACATCTCCCAGTAAACCTAGATCCCATATTACCATTAAATTCTCCCAACAGAGAATTCCAAAAACCACAATCTGTTCCCAACAGGCCCTATCTCAATAGATCCCAACACCTTTTAATAAAACCCTGATCCCATTCCAATGGTTCTCTTCTGTCCCTAAAAAGATCCCAAACTGCTCCCAAAAGCCCCTATCCCAATAGAGATGAACATCTCTTGAAGGAAATCTTGATCTCATGCCAACAGATGCAGATATGTTCCCCAAAGAACTGACCCTGCTCCTAACAGATTCTGGCATCTCCCAACAGATAGATGTTCCCTTCCCAGAAGATCCCAATTGTTCCTAACCTCTTCCAACCCACCCAGGTCATTTCCTGTTTTCAACCCCTTTCAGCTGAGTCTAATGGGTAGCCATTCTCGAGCGAGGACAAAGTAGGCCCAGGAGCAGGAAAGATAAGGCCAAAGCAGGTGATGGTAGAAGCTACCAGAGCATGGCAGCGGTAGGTTTACAAAGTCAGGAGAATCCATCCAGCACAGGAGAGGGCTGGTGAAGCTGGCTGAGGCCATTGGCATACTGAAATTCAGGCCCATTCTCATAGGCATACATATCCAGGGCCACCTCACAGCTCTCACGCACTACACGCTCCGCATCAGCTGCGTGGGCCCGAAGAGCTGCCAGACAGTCGGGGTGGGCAATAGAGCCCAAGGCTTCAGCACACTCATGTCGTACCATGGGGTTCTCGGCTTGGCTGGCTAGGGCAGCTATAAGCTGGGGTATGCAGGCCTCATGCTGCAGCTGGCCCAACACATAGCCCACCTCATGGCGGAACAGAGCACTGCCACAGCACAGACCTGGAGGCAAGAATCAGGGAAGGAAGCTGATCAGGTGGGGAGAAAATCACCCAAGGGAGAGAGTGGGAGGAAAGATGAATATTTGGGGGGAGGAGTCATCTGGGAAGGAATATTATTGGAAAGGCCATCTTGAGGGGGGGGTGTCAATCTAGGGGTAAGGGAGCCACCCAAGGAATCATGGTTAGAAGGAAGGGGCGTTACCTGAGGGATGAGTGACTTAGGGAATTGTCTAGAAGAGACAGTGCTGATAGTTACAAAGGAAGTCACCTTGAAGGATGATGGTTAAAGGAGGAAGAAGACAGAGGAAGTAAACCTAGGTAGGGAGTCAGAAAGGGGAGGATGAGAGGGATGGTTAAGGGAGGAGTCAACCGGGGGGAATTTCATTGTGTGTAAGAAGTGGGTCTGGGGAAGAGTCAGTCCTCCCAAAGGAGGTTTAAGAGGCAGGAGGAGTCAGTGGAGAAGAGGGAGACTTAATAAGGGCCAGAGAAGACCTTTCTCCCAATACATTTTTCCCCCCTCCTAGTACCTCATTTTACACCCTGAACATCCCTGGGAGTAAAGAAGAACAAGGATAATTCTTTATTTTACAAAAGGAACAACCAAGCTCCAAGGTCATCTAGCAAGTTGGGGGAGAAGCCATGTCACTCCCCAGCTTTTGTCACCCGTGGACTAAATACACAAATTAGAGTGCCAGGAGAGTAAAAGCTGAGCTATGGACATGTTGTTGTCCCCAGCCCCCTCATCTCACCCTGGGGTCCCTCCTCACCGTCTGCAAGGGCCAGTGCAGCCTCCTTGCCCCCAGCGTTTCGCAGAGCAAACATAGCCCGATAGCGGTCAAAGAGTGGGCGTGACTCATCCAGCAGCAAGGCCCGAAGACGCCCCACGTCCTTCTCCTCAGCTGGTGGGGCCGGGTCTACAGACAAGTAGGGGCTCCCTGTGGGCTCCCCTCCATTCTGTTGCAGCCATTCCAGCCGTCGCACTGCCAGCTGGCATGTCTCTGCCACCTGGGGACAGTGAAAGGACACTGAGAACCCTCCAGGACCTCCTCAGTCCCCAACCCAGCCTCATTTACAGGGACCTTGCTGCGGCAACAAAGCCCATGCTCTGGTCTGGCCCAAAGAGAGAGGAAGTAGCACTGAATCTGGAGTCTGAGGACCACAGGGCAAGGGCGGGCTCTGAAATTTAGCAGCTGTGTGACCACTTCAGTTACTTCACCTCTCTGAGTCTTCATCTGTAGAATGAGGATGCTAATATTGGCAACGCCTACATCCCAGGGTCACTGTAAGGAAGATTTTACAAATCTTAAAAGCATTTTAGAAATATCCAAATTATAGGGTTGGGAATTAGAGGTGGGAATGCCATGTGACGACAGCAGCGGCAGATCCGTCTGAAGCCAAGTTATAGACGCCCTGGATGCTAGACAGAGGAGTTTAGACCTGGTAGAGCAGGCACGACGCTCTTGGGGACTCCTGATGGGCCCTGCGCAGGGGAGGGAGGTGACGGCACACTTGGAGGAGGGAGAAGAGTCAAGGCCTAGGAGCTGGCGACAAGGCCTGAGTTCCCGTCGCAGCTCTGCGATGCACTGCTTTATGGCATCAAGCAGCTCGTTTCCTCTCTCTAAGAGCTCCCATTTGCTCACTTCCAAAATAGTGGGAAGGGCAGGATTAAATGACATTTTAAGTGCCTCCTTATTTTAAGATCATGACTGGGAGAGGGAACCTGAATGCTGGGGGTTGGGGAGGGCTGGGGTTGGAGGATTTCCCAGCATTGCTAACACATCTGTAAAATGAAGGGGTTGCAATATATACAGCAGCACTTTTTATGGAAACAGGAAGCCCAGAACTGAAATGTGGGCACCCCTCAGCTGAGGCTAGCTGAACAACCTGTAGCACAGAAATGTAATTGAACATTTGCTCTATAAGACAAGACAAATCTGAGAAGCTTGGTAAAACTCACATGATGTGATGCAGAGGGAAGTAAGCCAAAGTAAGCAGTCCCAAGAAGACAATACACACAAAATGACCACAAAGACAATCTTGACTCCAGAGGAGTCTCCCTCCTCTTGTCAGGGCAGTGGGGCTCTACAGATGTGAATGTGGGCAACCAATAACAGATGTGGCCAAAGCGTTGGTTTGTTTTACTTAACCGTACTTCCTTGTTTCAAGAGAAGATAGTGGAGAGTGGGAAGGGAAAGCAATGTTAACGAAGCATAAATGAGCATTTTAAAAAACAAATACAATGAGGGGGCTAGTCCATGGATCTCCAGTGCCTCTGCCCAATGTTCCAAGCCCTCCACAATCTAATAACATTCACCCTTTCTAGCTTCAGTTTCTATTGCCACCCTCTCTCTACCCTGCCCCAGCTCTAAATCCTATCATCCTACGCTGTCTTCCCTACCTGGCTCACTAAATAACATGAGACCCGGCAGCCACATAGGGGGAAAAAAGAGTATTATGTTACCTCGATGACAGGATCCTTGGCATATTCCTTCAGAAGCTCCAACACTTCGGGGTTGCCAATGGCTCCAAGAGCCTCTCCTGAAAGAGAAAAATGGCCAGAGATTGTCAAAGCTGGGACAGTCCTTTGCACAAAGAATATTCTGAGCTAGAATGGACTCTACAGCACAGAAAGTCAGGGCTGGGAAGAAGCTTAGAAATTAACCAGACTAGCCATTTCATGTTACATAAGAAGAAAATGAAAAAAGAAGGAAGGAAAGAAAAGACAAGACGAGACGAGACGAGACAAGAAAAGAAAAGAAAAGAAACGAAAAGAAAAGAAAAGAAAAGAAAAGAAAAGAGAAAAGGGAAGGAGGGAAGGAGGAAAGAAAAGAAGGAAGAAAAAGAAGGAAAGAAAAAGAAAGAAAGAAAGGAAGGAAGGAAGGAAAAGGAAGGAAGGAAGGAAGGAAGGAAGGAAGGAAGGAAGGAAGGAAGGAAGAGAAAAGAAAGAAAAAGGAAGGAAGAAAGAAAAAGGAAGGAAGGAAGGGAGGGAGGAAGGAAGGAAGGAAAAAGAAGGAAGAAAGAAAGAAAAAGGAAGGAAGAAAAAGAAAGAAAAGGAAGGAAGGAAGAAAAAGAAAGAAAAGGAAGGAAGGAAGGAAGAAAAAAGAAAGAAAAAAGAAAGAAAAAGGAAGGAAGAAAGAAAAAGAGGGAAGGAAAGAAGGAAGGAAGGGAAGAAGGAAAGGAAGAAGGGAAGGAAGGTCTTCTGACTCCTAGGGCAGTGCAGGTTCACGCCTGTCTTCTGACCTTTGCACATGCTTTCCTTATGCCTGAAATCCTTCAGTTTTTCCTACCGTCTCCCAGGTAAAGTTTAAACTTGTTTGCCTGGCATCTAAGGTCCTCTACAATCTGATGCCACTCTCCCTTTCCAGCCTTCTCTCCCATTATTCCTCCATATTCAGGCCAAACAGGACTGCTCTTTGCACTTTCCCACCTGTGTGCCTTTGCTCACACCACTGCCAGGAATGCACTCTCCTCCTTCTCTGCCCACTGAATTCCTACACATTCCTGAAAACCCAACTCCAATCCATGATGGCCCTGGCTGCTAGGGTCCTTCAACTCACACCACCTTGCCTAGCTTGGTGAGGACAGGAACCACTCCTATGGCTCTCCTAGCGCTCCAGTAGAGTGTTCTATAACAGTAGGAGCTTAACAAGAATGTGGTGTTGTTGACACGGGCTCCTGCCTACAATGTACGGGGAGTACTACTACAAGGACACAAGGACAAGGAATGAGCAGTATCCACAGGGCCTCATCTGGAGGGGTGTCATCTCACTCACCAGCCTCATGCCGCACCATAGGCTCCTGGCTGGTATCCTTCAGTACCTCTACTAACACAGGGATGGCTCTAGTGTCTTGCATTTGGCCCAGGCAGTAGGCTAACTCATGCTTTAGTAGGGCTGACTCATCCCCGAAGGCCTGGCTGATCCAAGAAATGGCCTCAGGACCACCCAGCCCCCGAAGGGTGAACAGGGCTCGGAAACGGGCCTGCAGGGGCTGCTTGGGATCCACAAGGGTCTGCCCGATGGCCTCTACTTCCTTCTCTGTTACCATGGTGCTTGAACTCCGAAGGCTTCTGCCAGGCCAGCCAAGGTGACTTGTGGGCTTGGGTCCTACAGGGGAAAAGAGCTCAAGTTAAGCACACATAGGAGGGAGGATCTTTCACACAGAACCCCAGAAGCTCAGCAGCTCCATTTGTTCTGTTTGACCTCACAGGGCATCTGAGTCCATTCAATCTTGAACAAGGCCCACTAAAATATCCTTAATGGCCAACCAATCTCCACCTTAATGAATGGACATCCAACACTCTCCCCTCCCCCTTCCACTCAGGCAACCCAAATCTCCCAAACCAGCTCATCTGACCTCTGGACGGCTCTGTCAGGAAGGTTTTCCTTTAATAAGACCTCAATCTGCATCTCTGCCACTTCTGCGCACTGCTCCTAGTTCTGCCACCCAGTAGGAGGAAGGCAGAAAGACAATATACAGAAAAGAGGCAGCTTGGGTGGTGCAGTGGATAAGAGTCAGGCCTGGGGTCAGGCAGACCTGAGTTCAGATATGGCCTTAGATACTTACTAGCTGTGTGAACCAGGGCCAGTCACTTAACCCTGGTTTGCCTCAGTTTCCCCATGTGTAAAATGGGGGTGATAATAACAGCACCTACCTCCCAGGGTCGTTGTGAGGACCAAATGACATGATAATTATAAAGCACTTAGTCTGCTGCCTGGCACATAGTAAGTGCTATGTAAACCTTAGCTATTATTATTATTAATTTATAGAAGAAACAAAGAGCTGGGGGGAATCAGAAAACCCTTCATGTAGGAGGTGGTGCTCAAGCTGAACTCTGTTGAAAGCTAGGGATTCCAGGAGGCAGAGGTGAAGAGTGAATGCATCCCAGGCCCAGGGACAGCCTGCACAAAGGCATGGAGATGGAGGATGAACTATAGTGTATTTAAAAAAAAAAAAACAAGCCAAGATAATCAGTTTGGTTAGAATAAAGAATAAAGAGAAATACTGTGCAATAAATTAGCCCAGAAAGACTGACTGAAGACAACCTATGAAACACTTTAAACGCCAAAAAGCAGCATTTGTATTTTCTCCTAGGGGCAAGAGAGAGGCAGTGGAGTGGCCTGGGCTGTCCTGTGCCTTAGGAATCTCTCCGTGACAGATGCATGGAGCATGGACTAGAGGGGGGAGAGAAGGGACAGAGAGAGACCAATGAGGATCCTGGCTGTTGTCCAGGCAAGAGAGAATGGGGTCCCTAATGAGGGTGGTGGCTATGTAAGTAAGAGGAAGGAGAGATATGAGAGGGAGCATCGACAAGACTTGTCAACTGATTGGTAAGAGAAGGGAGAGTGCGGCACCCAGGACGACTCCAAGGTTGGGAAGCTGGGTATCAAGAAGGATGGTGCTGCCTTGGACAAAACCAAGGCTGTTTGGAAGTGAGATAGGTTTGGGGAGCAAGAGAATGAGCTCTGCTTTGGACATGGTCAGTTAGAGGTACCTAGGAGAGAACCAGTTAGATACGGACAAGAGGCAGCTGATGATGTGGGACTACCACTCAGGAGAGACCATACAGCTGTGTGCGGACAGCCCTGGGAGTCATTGCCAGACATCTGATCCTAAGTCTTCTTCTCTCCAGGCTCGAGTATCCTGAAGTTCTTTCAACCTTCTAAATTTTGGTTCTGTAAAATTAGGATTCAGTCAAAAGGCTGACCTTAAGGTTTTAGAAGGCCACATGTGGTTTTAAGGCCCCAGGTTCCCCATCCCTGATTGAGACGACTTTCTAAAATTAGAAGCTGCAGGTAAAAATAGCTCACAATTCCCTATCTTATGTAGTTCGATCTACACAACAACCCTGTGAGGGAGGTGTTACTATCTCAATTTTACAGACAGGGAAACTGCCTGAGACAGGTTGAGTTACTTGTCCAGGATCACACAGCTGGCTAGTGTTTGAGTCAGCATCAGAACTCAGGTCTTCCTAAGTCCAGGTCTAGTGCTCAAACCCCCATGCCACACTGCCTCATAGGAGAGGGAGTGTCCTTCTCTGGGAGTTCTCTACACCAGTGAAATCACAGGTGTAGCCCCTGCCCCCTGGAACTAAGAGTTCATGTCCTTCCTCAACTAGGGCATTCAGAACTGAACACGACATGCCAGATCTGGGAGGGAGGGGGGCAGAAATAAACCAGGACTCTTAAAGATCCTTCACAGGGTTCTGCCCCTGTGCTGCCCATCCTGTAGGGCCTACCCTGACTGCTCCAACCAGAAGGAATCCAGCTCGTCTCTGAGATGATTCCTCACACTCTTACCATATGGACCAAATGACAGCCATGCATTCATGTGGCTAAGCTCTCCCTCTAGACCAGAAGTTCCAGAGGGCAAGGGCAAAGAACTTTCATTTACTCACTGACTCCTCCCAACATGCATCAGGGCTGTTACACAGCATGCGCTTGAGAAGAAATAAATACTTACTATATAGGTTCAAATACAGACCATACTCTTCCTTCAAGTCTGGATTGAAAAATCCCAAGGGACCTCCAATTGGCACTTTTTTCTCATTCCTTTATTTCTTTCTTAAATATTTTGTTTTTACTATTTACTATTTTAGTATTTTTAAATATTTTATTTTTTACATGTAAAAACAATTTTTAATATTCATTGTTAAGTTCTGAGTCCCAAATTCTATCCCTCCCTCCCCTCTCATTCCTTTCAAAGAAATCTCATTTTGGAGGTGTAAGCCTCATTTTGGGGCAGTGGGATGGTAAAAAGCATATCAGTAGAGATACATATGACAACAAAAGGAGGCCAGCTGGTCCAAAGCAAGGTCAGCGACGGGCAGATAAAACATGTGTTCCCCTGAGTATTTACACAAAGTTAAAAGATTTAGAGGAGGGCACCTAGAATGTAGGAAGGACCTCCTCAGGAGGACAGATGGGAGACCAACCACGGGTAAGCACTGCAAAGAATGAGAACCTTCGCATGGAATGCAATCTGCACCAGTGGAGGGAGTGTGAGCAGCAAGAAGGACTTCTAAAGTACTGAAGTATGGCATTGAAATATTTTATCATAAGAGGACAGACACGAGTTGTACAGCTCCTTTGATTGTTGATGATTAATAAAAGCAGCTAGTGGCGCCGTGGACAGAGCATCGGGCCTAGAGGCAGAAGACTCATCTTCTTGAGTTCAAATCTGTACTAGCTGGATGACCCTGAGCAAGTCACTTAACTCTGTTTGCCTCAGTTTCCTTATCTGTCAATTGAGCTGGAGAAGGAAATGGCAAAACGCTCCACTATCTCTGCCATGAAAGCCCCAAATGGGGTCCTGTTGGACGTCAGACATGACTGAAATCACTAAACAACCAGAAAGAGCTGCAGATGGAATGGGGAGAATTAACTGGAGAGTTCAGGGCTAGCCTGGGAAAGTTGGGGGAGTTCAGTGTTCCCCCCTCCAGCTCTCCAACAGGAAAAGAGAAGAGGCTGAAGGTACTGGGAAGGTGCTGAGTATCCAAAGCGGTTAACATCCTGATTGTGAGATTTCAGGTGATCAGATTAAAATGCAATCAGGGAATCCTTAACAAAATAAAAATACAGTAAAACATAGATGATAAGTCAGTATGTGGCCTGCAATGATCCTTACGTACCGCTTCTATTCAAGAGCTCCATAATATCTCACGCTTTGATCTCAACAGCTCCCATCAGTTTCACTGTCAGCTCTATAGATGATTCCCAGGATCTATAGTTCTAGCCCTGGTCTCGCTACTGAGTTCTAGTTCAAACCTATAGCTTTAACTGCCTTTCTGGATGTGCCCTAAGCATCTAAAACCTAGTATGTCCAACCCAGTTATCACTGCCCCCAAACTTACCCCTCTTCTGATACTGTCAAGGGTGCCACATCCTCCCATTCACCCAAGTCCCAACCTCAACTCCCTACTCACCCCATACAGCCCATCCTCAAAGAATCTACCTTTATAGTTCTCCTGTATATCTCCTCTCCATTCATAAAATCCACCTTAGTTTAGGACTAATTACTCCTACTCTGGACTATTGCAATAGCCTTCCAATTGCTCTTTGATCCACCCTCCACTAATCAATTTCCCCAAAGTACAGATCTGACCATTTTACCCCCTCCCCATTTGATAAATTTCAGGGCCTTCCATTACCTCCAGTTAGAGCTATTCACAACCTGGCCTTTCCTATGTTTCTAGTCTTTTTATGCTTTACTCCCCTCTATTCACCCCACAACCCAACTACACTCACCTACTTGTTCATAGTGCCTAGCATAGGACACCCCATTTCCCATGTCTATGCATTAACACTGGCTATTCCCACTGCCTTCTACAAGGCTTTCTCAGTCATGTCTTTCCTCTGAGATTATCACCAACTTACTCTGTATATATCTTTTTTGTCCATTGTTATTTGCATGTTGGTTCTCCTGTTAGACTGTGAGCTGATTAAGAGCAAGGAATTTTTTTGTTGTTGTACTCTTTTTGTATCCCCAGCACAGTCCCTGGCACACAGAAAGTACCTAAGAAATACTTGTTGACTGACTAGCATTCAACAGCCCACAATCGCTGTAATGTGAGCACTTACTTTCCATTTTACAGACAAGGAAACAGTGATTTCCCCAAAGCTATATGGTGAGTCAGAGGCTGACTTGAGACTAGAAGCCATGGCTCCTGAGCCTCAGTTAAGGGAGGGCTCTTTCAAAAAAGAATATGCTCCCTTTCCACCTGTCCTCTCCCCCAACCTACTCAGACTCATTACACTACAAAGATCCATGACTTCCTAACTTGTCTATGTCTTGGACGATGGTTTAAAGAGTTTAGTTGACTAAAACAAATTCACCATGTGACAGCTAAACCTTTTGTAATAAACCCTCTCTGAACTTAACTACAATAGCTAGTTGTTGGACAGACAGTCAGCTTATCAGTTTGCATTTAAAGCATGAAAAGCCTGTTGAGAGTCGAACCCATTATATTTCTTTCTTTCTTTATGAGGCAATCGAGGCTAAGTGACTTGCCCAAGGTCACACAGCTAGTAAGTCTGAGACTGGATGTGAACTCAGGTCCTCCTCACTCCAAGGCCAGAGCTCTTTCCAGTGCGCCACCTAGCTGCCCTGAGAACCCATCATTTCTTAAGAGAGGCAACATGGTCCATGGACAGTATTGGATTGGGAGTCAGTACGATCTGGGTTCAAGTCTCAACTCTGATACTCTCTACTACTTGGGTGACCATGGTCAAGGCAATTAACCACCCCCACCCCCACCTCCCTGGGCCTTCAGGGACTTGCTGAAAAGACAAAGTAGGCTGCAATCTGTGTTGATGGTAATGTATCAAAGATGTCAGTGAAGTATAAATGAAATAAACATTGCAAGGTGGGAGAAATGTGACCTGAGAGGCCACACACAGACACAGACACCTGCCCCCCCCCCCAGCAACAGAAGAAGGCAGCAACAGAAGAAGGCTTTACTTTGACATCAATACTGGGGAATAAATAAGTGATATCAGATTTCATGACACCTTCTCACTATGAGAAAAAAGGGATTTAAGGGCGGGGTGTGTGTGCCAGCTTTGATACTATTAAGAAACAGGTGATGCCAGGTTTCATGACAACTTCCCTCTAAAAGATTCACTGGTTTAATAGAAGGGAAGACAGTTGTCTGGACATGTAAAAGCATCAAAAAGACCCAGCCATCTTCAAAGAGAACCAGTGAACACAGACATGGACCTATGATGCTGTCTGGGAGTTCTTGGAGAACTGGCAGGGAGTTTAACGACCACCTAGTATATTAGTGCAGGTCTTCTTAAAATGGGGTGTTTGTATCAGCTTAGTGCGTGTATTTATGTATGCATGTATGTAAAAATGTGTACATATACACATCTGTATACATATACATATATAATTGGTTTTAAAATTATTTTGACAACTACATTTCAACATAATTGGTTTCCTTAGGAATTTTATTTTAAGCATTTAAAAACATTCTGAGAAGGGGTCCACAGGTATTGCCAAAGGAGTCTAGGACATACACAAAAATGTTAAGAACACCTGATCTGGTAGAAACCCTTCTCTTTACAAATGGAGAAACTGAGACTTGTGAAGGGGAAGTAACTTGCTCAAAGTCACAAAGCCAGCCTCCTCACTACCAGTGTCCTGGATACCAGAGGCATAAAACTGGACCAAAACTCGAGGTCAGCCTAAACCACATTAAAATGCACTTGGGAAAAGTTTTACAAAATAAATAAAGGTACAGTACAACAAAGATAATGTCAATTTGTGGTTTTCTAAGTCAATATGCCATTTCTATTTGAATATGACAACACCACTGTTTATCATCAGCCTGCCTCTCACAATGACTACACAGTGATCCAATAACACTTGTCCTTTTTGTTCCTAACTCAGCACATTCCCTCTCCCAACTCCCAAACATTTTCACCTGTTGTCTCACACATGGAATTCTTTCCTCATCCCCATCCTGGCTTCCCTCAAGTCTCAGCTAAAGTCTCACCTTCTGCCAGAAGTTTTTCCCAGCCCTCCTTTATCTTAGTGCCGTCTTCTGAAACTATCTTCAACTTATCCTGTATATAGCTTATTTGTACATAGTCGTTTGCATGTCGTCTCCTTAATTAAACAGGAAACTCCTTTAGAGCAGGGACTGCCTTTGTATCCCCAGTGCCTGGAATATAGCAGGTGCTTAACAAATGCTAGTGGACTGACTAGTTAACTGAGATTCTGAGCTTTCAGGGGGCAAGAACATAAAAAAAAATTTTTTTTAGCTTTTCTTTGCATCTCCAGCACAGCGTCTGGTACTTTGTAGGCAGGCACTTAATAAACGCTTAAATTGGAGGGAGTGTCAGTGAATGAGGACTCCCGGGTCTCCAAGGGATCAACCACCCCCCACTCCAATCTGACATCGAAAGGAAAGAAAAGGATTCCCCTTCCCCAATCTAAGGGAGTCGGGAGAGGTGGGATACCCAGAAGTAGTACCCGCTTAGTCCACTCAAAAAGAAGAGTCCCTCTCCCTTTTCCCAGGGGCCGGATCGCAAAGACAGGGGAGCAGGTGAATCCCTTGAAGATGGAATTCCCCCCCCAAAAAAAAAATAAATAAAAATAAAAATAAGGTGGAATCCTCAGAGACTGGATTCCTCAGGACTGCCCCCGCCAGAGTGGGTGGGATCCGACGGAGGATCAATCAACCGGAGGCATTTGTTAAAAACCTACTATATATAAAAAAAGTGCAAAGCTATGTGCGAAAGGCAAAAAGATGCTCCCTGCCCTCAAGGAGTTCACAGTCTAACAGAAAGGGGAAAGAGGGAGCACAACAATCACAAAGGTTCAAGGCGGGGATTCTTCCTCCTCTCTCCCAAGCGGATAGACTTATTTAAAGATGAGACCTCTCAGGGAGAAGGGGCCGGGGGAAGGATCCGGCAGAAGGGACCCTGGGGAACCAGCTTCTACTCAGCCCCGGTTCTCAAAAGCTGGGAACTCCCTCAAGAAAACAGCGATCCAGGGCCTGATCCCTCCCAACCCTTCTATCCTCCCATCCCGGAAACCCAGAGGAGAGGATCTGCCTGACCCCAAGTGCCGGTCAGAACCTGAGTCCCCCAACCCACCTCCCTAAGCCCTCACCCGGCAGCTCACCCGGCAGCAACTGCACCCGCAACTCCCTTCCCTTTCAGAGAGCAGCCATCTTCCTCCCCACGTGACCTCGTCCAGAACATACCAGTATGAGTGGAAGAGGGGGACATACAGACCCATGTTCACCAAGGAAGGAGTAATTCAGGAAGCGCTAAAGCTACTGAGGTTTGAGAGCTTATATATCACGTTTAAAGTGATATTTGATGTCCTCTTTGTGGCTCTTTTCACAAGGAGAGGGTAAAGAGAGGCGGACTGTTTGTCCATTTAGAGGAAGGGGTCCCCTTCCGCCTGAAGTGGTAGGTGCCGATTCAAATCCGGTATAATGAGCATGCGGTAGAGCGTGCATGCGCCCTGTCACCTGCGGCGCTCTTCGTGGAGGGACTGAAGGATGCTGGGTAGGGCCTGCGCAGCAAAGTCCCTGTAGGTGGGGCTCGGGGCTGTCTCTGGCTTGGGTGGCTGGGAACCTTGGGCGCTGGTAGAACACATTCCAAAGGTCTTTGAAAACTTTACAACCCTATTTAAAGGCGAGTTATCTTCACCGATGTGTATTTGGTCCAGAGTAGTAATTTCAACTGCGTAGGGAAACTCCTTGGGGTGGAAACTCCCTCCACTGGTGCAGCTCTGCTACTCCTGTAATTTAGTGCTCTTTCAGCATCCAGAGGTTTCGTGACTTTCCCCTGGTTGGTACCGGAGGCTGAGCTTGAAACCAGGTCAAGGGCACTGCCCCCACTTTATTCCCTCCCCACTGTGTTCTACACTGATCAGGCATTCACTGTATGCGTTACACTGTGCTTCCTATTCTGGAGTTAAATATAAGGAGGCGGACACGGGGTGGAGTGGGAAAGCAAGCACTGGATGTGAAATTGGGCTGAACCCAAAGCCTGACTGCCATTCATTTATTACTTGTGTGAATTTGGACAAATTGTTTTCCTCCCCAGAGCTTCAGTTTCCCCCAGCCGTGTAAAGAGTGGTCAGTAATTATTCTTCAGCTGCTTACGAGGGTTGTTTTGAGGATCAAAAAAGATTTTGTTTAAAATGACTCTTTGTAAAGCTTAAAAGATCTAAATCCCTCACCCAAGTAAAAGTCACCTCTTAGAGTACTGTCTTTCTGAGTCAACAAGCATTTACTAGATGTCTGGTATGTGCCAGGCACTCTGCTAAGTGTCTGCTGGGGATACAAAGAAAGGCAAAAAACAGTCCCTGACCCCAAGGAGCCCAAAGTCTGCTGGGGGAAATCCCATGCAAATACATAGGTACAAAGGAGATAGATACAGGATAAATTGGGAGTTAACCTCAAGGAAGGCACTGAAGTTAGGCTGGGCAAAGCAGAGCCCATTCTCAGTCCCTGGTAACTAAGGAGAAAATGATAAGACAGGTTCTTGGGACCCAAGTCAACAAAAGGCACGAAAGATTCCGTTTATGTGTTCATTTGTATTTATGAACACAATTGCATTTAACACAATTTTTGATGAGAGCAGATAGGGTCACTGTACTTGTTCTGTAGGACAACATCCTCCTTAGACAAAGCTATTTTCTATTAAGTAAATATGGGCCCCCCCCTTTTTTTATCTCAAATGCCCCTTAATTTTTATAGTAATAAGACAAAATGATACATATTACATTAGGTGACAATATTTTTGTAGGTAAGCTCAAAAATGAGAAGTTTGATTACAAAGTACTGATGTTCTAGCAGCATATTTTGGATTTCAGATAATTATACAGAAATGCACATAATTCAAATACTTGCAATTTAGAAAACCTCCCCATGAAAATATAAAAATAATAATCTGAGACAAAATATCTATTTGTTTTACTAAAAAACTGTATAAACTGATAAAATAAGCATGAAAAACACAACTTTAGAATTTATGAAGATTAACTACGTAAAAATAGTCACTTTTTCTTACAAAGATACCATTTATTATCTCACAAAATACTTTCCACAAGAATAATTGTTTTAAAATTGCATTATTTTTAAACTGATAAACCCTACATTAGATTTTGATTAGATAAACCCTCTTGGAAAAATACTTTGGTATGTGTCTTGAACTGATTTTTTTAAATCCTCTAAAATGATTTTAGGGTGGGCCCCTTCTTTTGTGAAAAAGTCACTCTTGCCTGTCTCTTCTTCCTTCTCCAGAATACTCTTGCCTCTCTTCTAAGAACAGAAGGTTCCTGGAGGGTAGAATTTTTTTTTTAGATCCTCATTCCTCTGTCATTGTTCAGTTGTGTCTACTCTTGGTGACCCCATTTGGGGTTTTCTTGGCAAAGATGCTGGAATGATTTGCATTTTCCTTTTCCAGTTCATTTTACAAATGAGGAAACTGAGGCAAACAGAGTGAAGTGACTTGCCCGGGTCATACCGCTGATAAGTGTCTGAGATCAGATTTGAACTAGAGAAGATGAGTCTTCCTGACTCCAGACCTGGCCCTCTATTCACTGTGCTTCCTAGCTGCTCTGATTCCTTTGACCCTGACCCTGTCTGGACAGATAAAAAAGATGACAAATTCATTCAAAAGTCACGCACACATTGTGTCCCAAGTATTGTTCCAGTGTGAAAGACATAAATAAGACATGGTCTTTGTTCTAAAAAATTTAGTCAAGGGCAGCTAGGTGGTGAGGTGAATAGAACACCAGCCCTGGAGTCAGGAGGACCTGAGTTCAAATTAAGTCTCAGACATTTGACACTTAACTAGTTGTGTCACTTAACCCCAATTGCCTAGCCAAAAACAAAAAGGGGGGGGCAGCTAGGTGGCACAGTGTATAGAGCACTGGCCCTGGAGTCAGGACCTGAGTTCAAATGTGACCTCAGACACTTGACACTTAACTAGCTGTGTGACCCTGGGCAAGTCACTTAATCCCATTGCCTAGCCAAAAAGAAAAAAAAGTTTAGTCAAATCAACAAGCATTTATTAATCACCTACTATGTGTCAGGCACTGTGCTAATCATATAAAGAAGGGCAAAAACAGTCTATGCTCAAGGAGCTGAATGTATTAGGGGAGATAACATGTAAATAACTAGGTGCGAACAATATCTGTGCAGGATAGGTTGGAGATAATCAGCAGAGAGAAGCCAAGGGATACTTCAGGGAAGCCAGGAGGCAGAGTCAAGGAGGGAGAGAATTCTAGGTATGGAGGACAGCCAGTGAAAGCATCGGGAGATGGAGTGACTTGTGCTAGGGAAAACAAGAAGGCCCATGCCACTGGATAGTAAAGTATGAGGGGGTGAATAAGGTGTCAGAAGACAAGGTAGGAGGGGGCCAGGTTGTGAAGAGCTTTAAAAGTCAGACAGAGGATTTTATATTTATTTATGGAGGTGATAAAGAGCTGCTGGAGGCATTTGGATAGGGGGTGCCTTGTACTTCAGGAAAATCACTTAGCTGAATGGAGGAATGAGGAGAGGCTTGAGGCAGGGAGACCACCAGCAGGCTAGTGAAGTACTTCAAGTGTCGGAGGAGGGAAGAGGGTTTCGTTACCAAGCTAGAAATAACACGATGTGACAAGTTGGATGTGCAGGTTAAGGATGACACCCTAAGCTGAGAGTCTGGGTGACTAAGACGATGGTAGTATCCTTGAGAATAATGGGGGAGTTCACAAGTGGGGTGTATGGGGGGAAAGGATGATGAATTCACTTTTGGATGTATTAAGTTTGATGTATCTATGGGACTTGCAGTCCCCTGGATATCCATTGAAGATGGTTATAGGCAGCTGGGGATGCAGAACTGAAAGTTAGTGAGAGATGTTCAGGCTGTATAAATCGATCTGAGAATCGTATGCATAGAAATGGTAACTGGGAGCTAATGAGACTACCAAGTGAAATCCTATTCAGGGCCTAAAGCACTGGGGAACATTCACAGTGAGCAGGCGTGACTTGGATGAAGATCTGACAAAGACTGAAAGGGAATGTAGTCAGACAGGTAGGAGAACCAAGAAAGAATAATGTCACAAAAACCTTAACAGAGTATCAAGGAGACGAGGGCAACGACAGTGTCAGAGGCTGCAGAGAGGCCAAGAAAAGTGAGGGCCAGGAGAGCTGGCAAATGAGAGACCACTGGTAACTTTGTAAGGAGCGATTTCAGTTGAAGGCTAAGGTCAGGAGCAAGAAGAAGAAAGAAAGAAGAAGAAGAAATAAGAGAGGCAGGAGAGGAAGTAGAAGGGTAAATGGATTGTAGGTGGTCTTTTCAAGTTTAGCCACAGAAAGGAGGCAAGAGATAGGACCATTGCTAAGCAGGGATGAACATATGAAAGGTTTTTTGAGATTGGGGAAGACATGGTAGTCAGTCCATAAATGTTTATTAAGCATCTATTATGTGCTAGGCACAGTGTTAAACCCTGGGGACACAAAAAGAGGCAAAAGACAGTTCCTGTAGTCAGGGAACTCACAAACTATACTCAAAGAACATTACAGTCTAATGGGGAGGACAAGAAGCAAAGAAATACGTGGAAACAAGCTACATGCGGGATGAATAGGAAACAATGACCAGAGGCAATGTACTAGAATTGGGAGGGATTAGGAAAGGCTTCCTATAGAAGATGGAATTTTAGTTTCAACTTAAAGGAAGCCTGGGAAGCCAGGAGACAGAGATGAAGAGGAAGAACATTGCAGGCTTGAGAGGACAGCCAGGAAAAATTCCTGGAACTGAGGCATGGAGTGTTTTGCTTGTGCAACAACCAGGAAGCCAGTGTCACTGGATGAAAGAGTACATAATGGGGATTTAGATGTAAGAATGCTGGAAAGGCAGTGGGGGTAGGGCTACGCTGTGAAGAGCTTTGAATGCCTGGCAGAGGATTTTGTATTTGATCCTAGAGGTGATAGGGAGCCATTGGAGTTAATTGAATAGGAGAGTGACATGATCAGAATGAACTTTAGGAAAATCAGTTTGGCGGCCAAATGGAAGATGAACGTGAGTGGGGAGAGACTTGTGGCAGGCAGAACTACCAGAAAGCTATTTGCAGCAGACCAGGCATGAGTTGAGGAGAGCCTGTGCTAGGCTGATATCAGTATCAGAGGAAAGAAGGACCTATTGGAGAGAGCATGCAAAAGTGAAATTGACAGGCCTTGGTGACAGATTAGATATGTGGAGTGAGGGATAGTGAGACCAGGATGACACCTAGGTTGGAAGACTGGGGGGATGGTGTTGCCTTTGATAATAATAGGGAAATTAGGAGTAGGAGAGGGTTTAAACTGGGGAAAGATAACAAGTTCTGTTTGGCATATGTTGTATTTAAGATGTATGTTGGACATCTACTTGGAGATATGTGAAAGGCTGTTGGAGATGTGAGACTGGAGGTTAGCAGAAGTTAGGACAGGATAGGTAGACCTGAAAATCATCCATGTCAAGATGGTAATTAAATCCATGGGGGATGATGAGCTTGCCAAATGTAGTGAGAAGAGGGCCCAGGAGAGAACCTGTAGGACCCCTACAGTTAGAGGGCATGACCTGGATGAGGAGACATAGAAGGAGCAGTCAGACTGGTAGGAGAAGACCAGGAAAGATTGATGTCCTAAAAACCTAGAGATAAGGTATCAAGAAGATGGTGATCAACAGTATCAAAGGTTGCAGAGACGTCAAGGAGAAGGAAGATTGAGAAAAGGCTGCTGGATCTGACAATTATGAGATCATTGGTAACTCTAGAAAGAGCAATTTCTGTGGAATGATGAGGTCAAAAGCCAGATTGTAAGGGGTTAAAAACTGAGAGAAGAGAAAGTGGGAACACTAATAGGTACCTCCTCAAGAATTTTGTCCACAAAGAGCAGAAGATGTAAGATGATAGTTGATAGGAGGGATCAGATGAAGGGTTTTTGAGGTTGGGTGAGACATGGGCATGTTTGCAGGCAGTAGGGAAGCCCCTGGTAGACAGAGAGTGTGGAGGTGATAGAGGGGAGCATCTTGCTGGAGAAGTTGGAATGGAATGGGATTATTTGTCCTAGAAGGGTTAGACTTGGCAATAAGAGCCTATAAGTAAGGTGAATTTTAATGTGTGTAAGGAGGATTTTGTTATTGTTTTTAAATAATAGTTTCAGGATCCTAGATAATATTTCCCGCAAATTATGGTTGAAAACATCTCCACCATGCTTGCACAGCGAGATATAGGGATGACATCATGTATGCCTGTGCTGTGCTCCCAGGGTCATGGTGATAATGCTAAAGTTAACCTGCGAGCTTAATGTGGGCAAGATGCCTTCTTTGTCTGTTGCCCTATAAAGCAAGTAGGCACTGGTCAGTGAGGGGGGAACTCATTTTGAGGATTTGGGTAATGCATAGAGGACTGCATGTACCTGCCTTGATCGGCCCCCATCAAGGCTTAGGGGATCTTGAAGGAGTTGTACTCCTATTCTTGCCTGCCCCTTCGAGAAGTGTGATTAGGGAGCATTCCCAGGAGTTGGTGCTCCCATTATCAGTAACCCTATTGAGAAGACTAAACTAGAATAAAGTAAGCTTATTTAACTTTCCCAAAGCTGTCTTCCTGACTGACCAGATCAAAAGCAAACCTGTGCTAGAACACCTGTTAGTGTTAGGAGCCCTCCTGTGTTCTCCTGCCCAACAAATGGTGTTATCTGTGTGTTTATCTGTGAAATAGAGCCACATCAATGATGAAGGAAAGAGGAGGCATCAGGAGTGATATGAGATGAGAAGGAGGAGGAAGAGAGAAGAGGGTTGATGGTTTTACTTCTTTCTATAAAATATGAGGCAAGATTCTTAGCTGAGAGGATGGGGAAGGGGGAGCTATGGCAGATTTGAGGGTGAATGAAAAAAGATTTGTAGAAGCTGCTTTGGTCAGTGGAATAATCAGTCGAGAGGCAAGCCATAAAATGATTGATCACCTGGCTAGTTGAGATTATGTAACAGAAATTTGCAATGGACCAGGTCAGCAAGATTTGGTGATTTTCCCCAGGTTTGTTCATCAGCTCGTGAGTTGGAGCAATAGGGGAAGGTGGGAGTAATTTAAGGCTGAGGAGGCTTAGCAGGCAAGATCAGCAATGCACTAAGAGGCCAAGGGGACTCACTTTAGAGAAGACGACAGGGCAGGTTTGAACTGGTTCAACCAGGGGTCGAGAAAGGGAAAGGAAGAAAGTGTAGCCAATGCAGGAATGATGATCTGGGAAACAACTGGGGTGAAAGGGTTAGAGGTTGTGATGAGGGCAAAGAAAAGGAGTAGGGATTACTAGGCCGAGGGGGAGGTGGAGTGACAGCGGATTGTGGTCATATAAAGGAATTTCAGAGTTCACGACCATGGACTTGGAACATTTGTGGGTGATAGCAAGGTGAAGGGTATGGTGGTGAGAGGGAGGGAAATCACCCAGGGGGGTTGTGGCAGCCAATAAGAGGTTAGGAAGACAAGCCACCTCCCACCTCTGCACTAGCCAATTGTGAGGCTTGTCTCCACCCTAAATATCTACCCTTATTCTCTAATAATCTTCCACTCTGACCTCACTCCAGCCTGCCCACTACTGAGTCAATATCAGCTCCTTCAAGCAGTTATAACCTACTTAGTAACTGCCTGGGTGCTCTTAGAAGACACCATCTCCCCAGATCGCTGTGGGACTGCAGCCGGCCCAGCTTGGGGGCAATGATTTGGTGAGTTTTTCTATTTTTTTACTTTTCATTTGGGGTGGAGGGAGTGCATGGAACAAGAGAGGGACTGTGATCTGGATTGAAGAAGATGTCATTACATTATCTACCCCCAACCCAGCCATTTTGCACACAACCTCTCCTGTCAGTCACCCAGGGTCTCACAATTTTGGTGTCAGCCCAGCATCCTCTTTCCTTCACCCCCTGGCAAATCTTGTTAGTTCTTCCCCCCACCCCCACCCCCTCGTTTCTCACGTCTGTCTCTAACCCTAGCTGAAGCCCTCCAACCCTTTCTCCCCTGCCCTCTTACGATGGCCTCCTCACTGGTCTCTCTGCCTCTAGCATCTCACCACTCCAGGCTGCCCTCCACGCAGCTACCAAAGTGATTTTCCTGAAGCTCAGCTCTGACAATGTCATACCCTTAGTCCATGAACTACAGTAGCTCCCTAGTAAACTCGAGGATCAGTATTATTTCTTCTTTATCTCATCTTTTAAAAATAATTTTGGTAAGTTTTATAATGTATGTAACTAGTACAGTAGTACACTTATATAATTTATAAATAAGTAAATTTAATACATATCTCTTGGGCGATGTAAATTTTTTTCACTGATAGGTATGAACAATCAAAAAAAGTCTGGAGATCCATCATTTAGGAATGAGAATGTTGGATTAGTAAACCTCTGAAGTCCTATTTTATACAGTAAGGACCATATCTTAATAATTTTTCTTTCCAACACAGTACCTGGTACATAAAGTTCCAAGAGATTTCTGATCTCGTCCTCATAGATGCTCCTTATGCATCTTGTGTGTGACTTTCATCTACATCCTCTGATAAGTTAGCCACACATGGTCTACCCAAGGTGCTACAGGCCTTCCTCAAATTTTCTTGGTGTGCTGAGTTAATGATTTTTTTTTTTGCCAAAATTGATGGTCTTTTTTCAGTTCTCATTCTTCTTGACCCCTCTGTAGCACTGGCACTGTTGACTACTAACTCCTTAATAATTTTTTTAACCCAGCTTTGTCTCTATGTTCTCTCCCTACCTCTCTGGAGAGTCTTTCTCAGTCTCCTTTGCTGTGTTATTATCCTTATCAGGTCTACTAACTGAGGGTATAACCACCCACCCCCAGCACCCCACCCAAGGCTCTGTCCTGGAGCCTTTCTTTTCTCCTTACACTCTCTCACCTTATTAGCTGTCATGGTTTCAGTTATCATCTCTACACAGCTATAAATGAAGCAGCTGTAATGTGAGTGGGCAGAGCACGAGACATGGATTCCAATGTGACTTCAAAATAAGTTTTTAGCTTCAAAATAATTTTTAGCTGTATCACACATACCCCTAAGAAGTTATTTAACTTCTCTGGTCATCAGTTTCTTCATCTGAAAAATGAGTGGGCTACATAGAATTACCTGTAAGTTTCCTACCAACTTTAGATCTGTAATCCTATGACCCCCAAATCTATGCATCCAGCTCTAGTCTCTCTCCTGAATTTCAGCCCTGCACTTCACACTCGTGTCCAAAATAGAATTCATTATATAATTTCAGCTGTAGTTTTCAATGCTCTCATCTTATTTGTGCTTCTTTCTGCCCTTCCTTTTGTTTTCTTCTCTGTTGTTGTTGGGTGGTTTCAGTTGTGTCCAACTCTTTGTGACCCCATTTGGGCTTTTCTTAGCAAAGATACTGGAGTGGTTTGCCATTTCCTTCTCCAAAGTTTTAGAGATGAGGAAACTGAGGTAAAATATCTTTAAGCGACTTGCTCATACTTAACAGCTAGTAAGTGAGGTTGGATTTGAACTCAGGAAGATATCTTCCTGCCTGTTTTTCTTCTCTGCATTTTAAAAAAATATATCTTAATGGCCCTTCCTTCCTTTATTCCTTTTTCCCTTCCTCCTTTCTTTCCTTCCTCACTATCCCTATCCCCCATAGCCCTTCCACCTCATCCATCCCTATTGGAAAAAGAAAAAGCCCTTGTTTAAAAAATGTGCCTATGAGTGTGTATGTCTTATTTTGTGTTTTTAATTTGTCACCTGTCTGTGAAGAGGTAAACAATAGCACAGTCCTCTTGAATTATAATTGGTTGGTCATTGCATTGATCACCATTATCAAGTCTTTCAAACTTGTTTTTCTTTATAATGTTGTGAGGGTGTAAATTGTTCTCCTGGTTCTGTTCCTTATAATTTGGTTAGCCATTTGAAAATAGTTGGGCAGAAGCTTATGGTTCTTTGCTACTATAAAAAGAGCCACTGTAAATAATTTTGTGCATATGGGTCATTTTGCTCTTACTTTTCTTTTCTTTTCTTTTTTTGGCTAGGCAATGGGGTTAAGCCCAGGGTCACACAGCTAGTGTCAAGTATCTGAGGCCAGATTTGAACTCAGGTCCTCCTGACTCCAGGGCCCATGCTTTATTCATTTTGCCACCTAGCTGCCCCTTGCTCTAGGCCTAGTGATGGTATTACTGGGTCAAAGGGCACAAACAGTTTAGTGATTCTGGGGACATAATTCCAACTTGCTTTCCAGAATTGCTGGACTAATACGTAGCTCTGCCAACAAATGCATTAATGGGCCTGTTTTCATTCAGCCCCTCCAGCAGCTGTTATTTTTCTTTTTTGTCTTCTCTGTCAATCTGATGGGTGTGAAGTGGAACCTTAAAACTGCTTTAATTTGAATTTCTCTTAATAATTACTGATTTGGAGAATTTTAAAATATATTTGTTGATGGTTTGGATTTTAGTTCAGCTTCCAGCAGTAGTTCTCTTTTCCTCCTCAGAGGATCTTGTATTTACTTGTTTATTACATGTTGTATCTCCCCTATTGGATGGAAGTTCTTTGAGGACCAGGGATTATTTTATACATTTTTGTCTTTGTATCCCCAGCTGCTAGCACAGTGCCTAGCATATAATAAGAACTTAATGAATGGTTTTTGAAGTGATAGAGGATCAATCCAACCATCTGGAGGCCTTCCTCAAGGTCTTTTAACTTTTCCTGTGTTCTAATGCAGGACTTGGGCTGTCACATGCTGCGCATTCACTTTTGCTACGTGACTGGCCCACCTCCTTCTTTTATCAGTTATCATTGGTAATGAGCTGCAGCCTCACATTCCACATGCTGCCATTTTGGTTCTTTAGAGGCTGAGGTATTGCACATTTCACAGCATCACTGAGAGAAAATTAGTGTTTTAAAAAATGAGTTTGGCCGTTGGGTAAAAATGCTGTGAAATTTCCCAAATACAATTCGACTTGCTGTCTTCCTCCTATTTAATTCTGCACCCAATTCATTTTCCATTTGCTATGCCTGTCTAAGAGATACATACAGACATACACAATAGTGTATGTGTATAACATTTTTATATACATACATTTACATTCCTGTAAAACATAAATTCTTTGAGAACATTCATTTTTTGCTTTGTATCCTTAGGATCTACCACGGTCTGTAACACAAAGTAGGCACTTCATAAATGCACATTTGATTTATTTATTAACTAATTTAATTCGCTGCCCATCCAAATGCAAAATAATGATAATAATAACTAGCATTTATATAATGTTTTAAGGTTTACAAAATACTTTACAAATATTACCTTAATTTATCCTCACAACAGTGCTGGAAGATAGGTGCTATTATTATAGCATTTTACATTTTACAGTTGAGGCAACTGAGGTAGACAGAGGTTGGATTACTCACCAAGGCGCACACAGCTAGTAAATGTCAGGGTAGATTTGCACTCAGGTCTTACTGATGCCAGGCCCAGTGCTCTATCTACACTTTAGCACTTAGTACATTTTTCCAACCATTTTTTTTCTTACTGTATTGCTAGGCTGATGTTTGAGAAGCAGTTGTGGATCTAAATAACAAGGCCCTAGAATTCTTAACCCTGTTTTGTGCTTTGGACCTCTTTGGTAGTCAGGGGACGCTTATGCACTCCATTCTTAGAAGGAAAAGCTGAATTTTAGTTAGAAGTTAATGAAAATAAATATATAATTTCTCCCCACCCAAGTTCACAGACTCCCTGAAATCTTTCCAGGGCCTCCCAAGGTAGCCCCGTTGCTCTCAGATTAAGAAGCCCTGCTGAGTAGTGTCTGGGATTTGATGCCATCAGCAGGACACAGAAAAACATCTGCAAGTCTGGCCCACCCTCTTGAATGCCACATTCTTCTCCTTGAACACTGGGGAGGACATCCTCCCTAGGTAGTGGTACAGACTTTTGCTAAACATCTATCTCCCTATTTTCGCTTTGATTGATACTAAGAGAGGATCATTAAACAAAGTTAGCTCTATGGTTGTATCTATTAAGGAATCTTGTATTATCTTAACATATTAATCGAAGACACGCCTTATGAGAGAATGGCTTTTAAAGATGCCTTTTGCCTTACTGAATCAAAAGTTGTTTTTTTGTTTGTTTGTTTTTAATAATCAACAAATAATGAACACAGCAGAGTCTTGTATTCGATACACATTTTCGAAGACTGGAGATTTGGTCTTCTATAGAAAATCATTGGGGAAAATTCTTCTCTTCTAATATTTTATTCAAGGATGTTCGCACATATATTTTATATAAAGAGATGCGAAGATAGCATAATCAAGAGCTACTGATGTCCTAGTGATTACTCTTTTTTTGGTTTTCATTCTACTGGTGATTTTTTTTTCTGATCATTTGTTATCTTTCTCCTTTTCCTATTTCAGTTATTTTGAAAATTGACCCCTCAATGCTTTGAAAATTGTGTTAGCTCCAACTGTGATTTCTTCTATGTGTCCGTGGCCTGGTTCAGCTGCCCCTCCTGCCTTTATCTTCTCAATGGCCATTTCTGTTTCCTCATATAAGCACATTGGTCTCTGAGGTATTGAAGAATACAAATGCAGTGGTTCTACCATCACTACTGACAGTAGTTCATCTAGAGATGCTCTTGGGATGATCTGGCTTAGTCAAGTCTCATGCCAGGCAGGCACTGTGCAGATTTGTTTTACCTTCTCTGTGTTTTTGTGACATGTTACTGAGAGTACATGATC